TTTTTACTGCAACCACCAACCACAGGAGGACTCAGGAGCCCGCTCTCAATGAGTGTAGACAGCATGCTGCTCTGCTAATCGTCAGATGGGTGGAGGAGAGGAGGTAGGGGGCTCACATGGGTAACTGGGGGCCCTGCCTTGATTGGGTAACTGATTAATAAAAATACAAATAAAAACGGCCTAATAAATAAATATGGCCGGTCAATTGTGTGGGTCAGGGGCTGGGCCCAATTACATTATTGTTTTGTATTATAATATTTCTTTATCCAACCACAGGAGCCCGCTCTCAATGATGTTCAAAATACACCTGAGGGCATAATTTAGCTACAGAGGATCAATAGTAAAAAAAAAATAACTGAATTAAGTTTTATCACAAGCACATACAGGTATCTGCCAACGTAAAGGAAACACCAACATCGTGTCTTAAAAGGGTGTTAGGCCACCACGAGCTGCCATAACAGCTTCAATTCGCCAAGGCATAGATTCTACAAGTGGACCTAAACAATAACAGGAAAATGCACCCCACACCATAACATATGCTTTGTATCCCTCATTTCCTCAAGTGTTTCCTTTATTTAGGCAATTACTGGTATACCTACAGTCGGGAAGGCCTCAGTTAGGGCAGCATGTGCCCCAAATATACAGCTTGTTGAATTGTGGCCATAGACATAGAAGGGTTTTGGAATATTTTACCCTGGAAAATTGACTGTTAAACTCATTGGTACACGAGCAATGGCTCCCAGTCCTGATTTGAATGGGATTTGCCATCTATGGATTATATTTCTATGGTTGGTTGCAGCTGTAGTTTTGCCTTTTGCAGATTTCAAAATATAATCGCGAGAAAAATTTACAGTTTGGAAAGCAAATGCCTACTGCTGAAAAGAGAAGATTAATCTGTCTGTAGAACCAATAGAAACAATTTTATCTCAACAACTCCCAATTTTTAGCAAATGGCAGCACTGTTTTTCAAACTATCTCATCTTGAAATAGGCTATTGCCATGAGGATGAGCGCATTGGCCATCACCGTGAGGAGGAGCGCATCGGCCATGGCTTATGGCTTCATCTTCATCATTAGGTGAGTCAGTGTGCCACTGGAAATTGTATTTAGTAGCTTACTGTAGCCTATAATAAATAATAATAATAAAAAATATATATACATACACTACCAGTCAAATGTTTGGACACACCTACTCTTTTCTTTATTTTTACTATTTTTTACATTGTAGAATAATAGCGAACACATCAAAACTATGAAATAACACATATGGAATCATGTAGTAACCAAAAAAGTGTTAAACAAATCAAAATATATTTCATATTTGAGATTCTTCAAATAGCCACCCTTTGACTTGATGACAGCTTTGCACACTCTTGGCATTCTCTCAACCAGCTTCATTACATTTACATTTACGTCACAATGAATGTATTTCAACTAACAGGTGTGCCTTCTTAAAAGTTAATTTGTGGAATTATTTCTTTATTGCGTTTGAGCCAATCAGTTGTGTTATGATAAGGTGTGTGTGTGTGTGTGTGTGGGGGGGGGGGGGGGGGGGGGGTATACAGAAGATAGCCCTATTTGTTAAAAGACCAAGTCCATATTATGGCAAGAACAGCTCAAATAAGCAAAGAGAAACAACAGTCCATCATTACTTTAAGACATGAAGGTCAGTCAATACGGAAAATCTCAAGAACTTTGAAAGTTTCTTCAAGTGCAGTCGCAAAAACCATCAAGCGCTATGATGAAACTGGCTCTCATGAGGACAACCACAGGAATGGAAGACCCAGAGTTACCTCTGCTGCAGAGGATACGTTCATTAGAGTTACCAGCCTCAGAAATTACAGCCCAAATAAATGCTTCACAGAGTTCAAGTCACAGACACATCTCAACATCAACTGTTCAGAGAGGACTGTGTGAATCAGGCTTCCATGGTCTATTTGATGCAAATAAACCACTACTAAAGGACACCAATAATAAGAAGAGACTTTCTTGGGCCAAGAAACACGAGCTATGGACATTAGACTGGTGGAAATGTGTCCTTTGGTCTGGAGTCCAAATGTGAGACACGGTGTGGGTGAATGGATGATCTCTGCATGTGTATTTCCCACCGTAAAGCATGGAGGAGGTGTTATGGTGTGGGGGTGCATTGCTGGTGACACTGTCTGTGATTCATTTAGAATTCATGGCACACTTAACCAGCATGGCTACCACAGCATTCTGCATCGATACGCCATCCCATGTTTTTCAACAGGACAATGACCCAACACACCTCCAGGCTGTGTAAGGGCTATTTTACCAAGAAGGAGAGTGATGGAGTGCTGCATCAGATGACCTGGCCTCCACAATCCCCCGACCTCAACCAAATTGAGATGGTTTGGGATGAGGCGGACCACAGAGTGAAGGAAAAGCAGCCAACAAGTGCTCAGCATATGTGGGAACTCCTTCAAGAATGTTGAAAAAGCATTCCAGGTGAAGCTGGTTGAAAGATTGCCAGGAGTGTGCAAAGCTGTCATCAAGGCAAAGGGTGGCTATTTGAAGAATCTCAAATATAAAATATATTTTGATTTGTTTAACAATTTGTTGGTTACTACATGATTCCATATGTGTTATTTCATAGTTTTGATGTCTTCACTATTATTCAAAAATGTAGAAAATAGTAAAAATAAAGAAAAACCCTTGAATGAGTAGGTGTTCTAAAACTTTTGACCGGTAGTGTACACAATATGTTTAGAATTGGCTATCTAGTTAGTCTGTTGTATATTATTATTCAACCTGGTCTCAGAGCATTTCGTATTATTCTGTAAGAAAATCCAAGACACACTATTTAGTATGATATGTTATGTTTCGTATGATATGTATTATTTTGTGGATGTCCATCACCCATTTCGTATGATATGTTACGAATTACAATTTTAAATAAATCATTACAATTTGCAAAACGTACAATGTGTTATGAATTTGCAAAACAAATGACATGTTACAAATTCTATCTTGCTGGCTAGGTGGCTAACGTTAGCTAGCTGGCTAACATTAGCTAGGGGTTAGGGTTAGCGGTAAAGGTTAAGGTTAGGATTAAGTTTAGGGTTAGGGGATGGGTTAGCTAACATGCTAAGTAGTTGAAAATTAGCTAAAAAAGTAGTAAGTAGTTGAAGAGTTGGATTAGCAAACACAACGTGCCATTGGAACACAGGACTGATGGTTGCTGATAATGGGCCTCTGTACGCCTATGTAGATATTCCATAAAAAAGCAGCCGTTTCCAGCTACAATAGCCATTTACAACATTAACAATGTTAACAATTTTTATTTTTTATACCTAAAGGAGTCCTAAAATTCTAAATGATATAGCTAAATGATCCATGTTGTGACCATCTTAAAACAATATTCCATATGTTAGCTTAATGACCGGGGCAAGCAGACAAGCTTTAATGTCGAGTCCTGATAACCATCATATAGAAGTACATTTTGAGTCATGCAATGATATGTTGTGTGGGCCTCCCACTATGCAGTTTATTAGGCTACAGATTAAATAAGTTATAATGAACTTCACAGGGTGGTAAAAGTGCATGGTGATGAGCTTGATGCTCATTTCCAATAAATATCGAAGGTCTTATTCTGGTGTCATGTTGATCAATACTTGGCTGCTGTTTAACAAATACAATATCCCTCTTATCCATAATAATCTCATCATGTAGGGAGGGAGATACAGACGAGAGTCTAGCTGGAAGTTCTAACCCACAACACTTACACACACACATGCACATTGCAATTTATTGGTATACAGCTGTAAACACCTCTGCCCTCAGGCCTTGAATTCCAATGCATGGCTAATAATAAACTGGTGTGAACAAAAACGATATAAAACGATATAAATATAAATACACACACACACACTCTGTTAGACAATTGGAGTCAAAGAGATTGACTGTGTGGTCACAAAAATTATAGCTGGGGTTTCCAAGCATGCACCTGGACCAACTGTGAAACAGTCCGTTTCTATCAACTCAACACAGCAAAACATACACAAGGGAAAATCTGTTTCTTCCTCTGGTTTGGCCAAGACACACACACAGGTGGACAAATACTCTGCAAGAAATAGATGGTGTTGACATCCTGAGTAGGTAGATCTGAGTATAAAATGATTTTTTTATGTTTTTTTTTTTTTTATGTATAGAAAATCCTCACTGAAAGCTCATGTTAGCTCCTAGTGCTAAAACTACTCATATTTTGTGGTTTAGAGTCCAATATCCCTTTGCCAATTGTCTTACGAATCTGTAATTTCTTTCCTCAGAAGCGGAAGAAGCAACTTGCATCTTCAATGCTGGAACCTCCAGCATTCAGCCTTTTTTGTGTGTTGCATATTTTTATGTTGTTTTTTATTGAACAATTAATAGTGTTGTACTGAGTTTGTTTAACCTTTTACTGCAGTGGGCTAAATCAGGCTCACACAGAGTGATTCTTGGTAGTCCTAAACAAATCTACTTTGAAACAAAAGTATACACCTCACACATGGTTATTGGCTTACAAAAAAGAAGACACCTGTACCATGTCAGATATAGAGTTGAAATGTAATAATTTTTGACTTTGCATACCAATATTACACTTATATACATCACAGAAGACTGAAATATAACAAAACAGTTTGACATAGAAACACTTGATTTTCGTCGTAAAAAAGAAATAATCTTTATTAATAATGAAATTATAAAAAATATTAATAACATTCCACCCATGACGTCAAAGAGGGCACTTTTGGTCATTGACTGCAGGAAAGAGCTACATTACCTTTTATAATTTGTTGGAGGAGCAGTTGGCTCTCACTCAAAACTGTTCAAGTAAGATCTTAATTAAATCAAACTTCTGACTCCTCTGCTCTTCAATTCCTCCTGCCTATGCCTTTGCTTTTAGAATAGACAACATTATGGGACAACCGCTGTACTCCACTTATGCCTATTGGGCCTCTGGGTGAGTCACTAAGGGGAGGTGATCGAGGTAGTACAGACTCACTTGCGGAAGATGGGGAAACCATTGTTGCGTTCTTCCTCGATGCGCCGGGCCAGGAACTGGCAGCTCTTGCGGTCGTGACCGGAGCCCAGCAGGTTGTGTGTGGGGATGAAGAAGTTGGGGAGCATGCTGTGTTTCAGATGGCCTTCAAAGTCCTCCAGCAGCTGCTGGAAGCAGGGTCCCAGCCGGACCGCCTCCCAGTCGCTGTCCTGGGCCTGGAGCAGCAGGCGTGGAGCAGGGTGGTCTTGGCATGGTAGGAACAGAACTTGGACAGACTAGGGTTCTCTGCCTTCAGCAAGCCCAACAGGTGCTTCAGAAGCTTCAGACAGTACTTCCTGAAGCAAGAAAATGGGCAAGTCTCAGGCACACATGATAATACACAATTTATGAAAGGAAATGGGTTTAATGCTGCGTTCATAAAATCGCGTACATTTGTAAATACAAGCATACAACTGGGAAAAATCCACTTGAACACCCCTCAGACTGGTAATTACTAGTAGTGGGAAACTCATTTATCATCCCTGAGCTCGAACTTCTCCCACATGCTGAACTATGACATTATCCACTTAGGAAATGACCTCAATAACAACATTTTCAGCAGTTAAATGCAACAACAAACCATTAGGTTTTTGAGCACTATAATTTGTTTGCGAGAATGCTTTTAGTTTATGCTTGACACAGCTTGTTTGCCATTAGCCAATCGCGTTTCTCAATGAGTTCAAAGCACGTGGATGCATCTTAACTCATATTTACTACTTCACAACTGGAAATTACCACCTTCCCATTTGGTTATGAACACAGCATAAATATTGGTTAATAATGATTTAAGAAATGTACCGTTGAAGGCCTATGTCATGGAAAGTACACTATATTCTCGTTAATATGATTCCCTGTACTCAGTGCTTAATTTGTAAATTGGGAGGTGCCGGAACAAAAAAATGAGCACGAGAGGGGGGTGACCTGGGGAGCTCTGAGGTACCGGAACGCATGAGAAAAAAAAATCACCTTTATAATAAAGCATTGAATGCATATCATCACATTTCCGTAGTGGCATAGAGCAGTAGAGTAGAGGCACTTACAGAAGTTGCACACATGGGAAAAATGTTTTGTGGCCTAGGGTCCAGGAAACCCTAGAATGAACGAAGAGGCAACTCAAATTAACTTTGATCGTGTTTATTAGAATGTTTAAATTGCAAAATGTGACAATTATTTTTCATGCCACGAGAGGTACCAGATCAGGCCAAATAGGTTCCAAAAATAAATCACTGCATTTGACTCACACAGCCTCAGTCACTTACTCACCTCGTCCACTGTGTGTGTGCCTCTCTGTGACATCAGCTAAACATCTAGCTGGCTAGCTCATCATGTCTCAGTCTAAACTGTACACTCAAAAATACAGAAAGGAGTGGGAATCAAACCCTGAACTCAAAGGCTGGTTGAAGCCGTTTATTGGAGATGATACACAGGCATACTGCCTGTATTGTAAGGCTGATTTCTACGCCAAACTTAGTGATGTAAAAAAACACATGACAACTCAAAAACATACTCAAAAGGCAAAGCCTTATAACAGTTCCACCCAAAACAAGCTGCCATTTATGGTTAAAAAAATGGACTCTGCAAAAAAGGCTGAGGCCACCATGGCATTAGCTATCGCTGAACACTGTTCCATGCTGGCATGTGATCACATTGGAGAAGCATGTAGAGCTGCTTTCTCAGACTCCACTGCTGCTACCCACTTCAAAATGCACAGGACAAAGTGCACAGAAATGATGAATGGTGTTCTAGCACCATACTTTCTGAAAAAGTTGGTCGCAGATGTGGGTGACCAGCGTTTCAGCCTCCTCCTCGATGAGTCCACGGATGTAAGTGTTTCTAAGTACCTGGGGGTTGTGATAAGGTACTTTAGTGACACCAAGCAGACAATTGTATCAACATTTCTGGGGCTTGTTGAGTTGGAGGGAGGAGATGCCAAATCTATAGCCTTTGCTGTTGTGGCTTTCCTCGAGAAGTGTTGTCTTAAAAAAGAGAAACTCCTGGGGATATGGACTGACAATGCCTCTGTTATGACGGGGATTAACAATGGGGTCCATAAAGTGCTGAAGGAGGAGTATGGCCTCAAAGATCTGGTTCTTATTCGCTGTGTGTGCCACTCTCTGCAGCTTGCTGTAAGTCATACTTCCAATGACACCATCCCCCGTAGTGTGGAGTACTTGGTACGAGAGACTTGAGACCATCAACTGTGGGGAGAAACCTTTACAGATAACCAAGGTGTGTGCCACACGTTGGCTCTCCATTGAACCTGCGGTTTCACGCATTTTGGACCAGTGGGAGGAGCTTAGGCTGCATTTCGCAGTCACCAAGTCCAGTGAACACTGCTACATGGCTGAGGTTTTATACTCCATGTACAGTGATCCTCAAAACATATTGTATCTGACTTTTTTGAAGTCAGTGCTGGGTGAGGTACAGTTGGCCATCAAGGCTTTTGAGGGAGAGCAAGTAGATCCTCTTATGCTACTTGACAGCTTGGTTAGCTTGATCAAGTCTGTGAGCAGCAGGGTGTTGAATCCACTGGCAAATGTTGATGTACTCAAAGGGCCAATAGATGGATACATCAGTCCCAAACCGTACCTTGGTTACCTTTTTGAGTCAAATGCAGCTGAGCTCCACCTTGCGCCTGAGGATGAAAACAATGTCCGAATGCGGTGTGTAGCCTTCACCATCTCCCTCACTAATGAGTTGAGGGTGAGACTGCCGGACAACATCGAAGCATTGCAGTACATGTCAGTTTTCAATGTGGAGGAAACTCTAAAGCACAATAAGAGCCCTGGAGAAATAGAAAAAATAGCCAAGCTCCTTGGCTACTCCCCTGCAGAGATAGACAAGATTGTCCAGCAATGGCGTGCCATCCATCTTAGTGAATGGAATGAGACAAAAAACACACTGGGCTTCTGGAGTGAGATTTGGAAGTTCAGGGATGCAGCTGATATCAACCCGTTTCAAGAACTTGCCATGGCTGCTGTTTCTGTGTTGTCCTTGCCACACTCGAATGCTGAAGTTGAGAGAGTATTCAGCCAGATGAGTGTGGTAAAAAGCAAACTTAGAAATCGGATGTCTTTGCAGACCCTTAACTCCATCCTGTACATTCGATATGGACTGAAGCTGTCTGGTGAGGCTTGCTATGAGCACCAGCTGCCTGATAATGTTTTGCAGCTTTTTGGCACATCAGCTGCTTACTCATTTAAGTCAGCTCCCTCAGTTGCTGAACCTGCAATAGAGAGCCTTGACCAAAATGATGATGACCCACTCTTTCTGTGAGCCAGCACAGCCTGTGTGTTTGTGGAGGGGGTTCTGGGAAAAAAATAACAATTAACCTGAATTAGGGCCAGACTAGTTACCATCATTTTCTCACATTGCCATTGACAGTTTTTTCTATTGTCTCTTTTTGGTCCATTTAGATTGTTAATGTAGATTGTATACAACATTTTTTTTAAATGTTATGGTTAAAAATGTTCATGTTTTACTGTGACTTGTTGTAGGCTACTAAGTGGACCATAAGGTTAAAAACCAAACCAAACTTAAGAAAACTAAACTAAATATATATATTTTTTAAACTAAGTAACTCCGCCAGAGTGTCTCTTTTGGGTCACTTTTGCCGGTCCCAAGCCCGGATAAAGGAGGAGGGTTGGAATTGTGACATAAAAAAAAACAAGAATCAACAGAAGAAAGTTCATTTGTAGTTCTAAACATATTTAGGGTGTTTTTTACTCACTTTTTGTCTCTCCCACAACGTTATTCCTCTCTCCTACAGCCTCCATCACAATTATATGCACATGGCCAATTATGCAAATTAGGCGATGACGTCATTTAGCGACTTCTGACGACCTTTAGGACAGCCAATAGCTACTTTCCTTACTGAGGAGCTGGCAACACTGGTGCTGGATCCTGTTCTGGCAGGGTCTGGCTCAAATTAAGCACTGCCTGTACTGTATGTAGGCTGACAATATTTGACTCGTTTTTGGCAGGGCATTATGACTACAGTATTCATGTTTGCAGCATACATTCTATAGTAGGCTTACCTGCAGCAGCGAGTCCCGTTGGCCTCGCAGCAGGTCTTCTGGGAGCCATGATTTGTTAGGATACTCTTCTCCACGTGCGAGAATGAGATGCGCCATATGTCTGTAGGTAACAGGACAAGAAAATGACATTTAGGAAACTCAGAAAAAGGCAATAGCCCCTGAAGGAGGGGGGTTCAGTGCTGGGGGAAAATGTGACAGCTATATCTGTCCTCTAATACAGGACTAGTAAAGGCCCTAATTTTGTGCGAAAAATATATTTTTCAACAATTTCAACAAATGTTGTCTTAATATATTATTACTTTTTGGGGGAGGGGGATTTTTCAGTGGGTGCTGCAGCATCCTCAGTGCCCTACTTCCAGTGGCTATGCTCTGCACCTCCCATTTATGAAGAAATCACAAATGAAAGTGATAGTTTTATTCAAGATGTGTTAGCTTGAATGGTGTTGACCTAATTGTTACAAAATGGTTACCTCTAGCGCAGACCCCTTCCCGTTCCACCGTGCCCTTTCCCTCGTACTTCGGAACGAGGTAGTACCCCTTAAGCTTTTGTTCTTTCTTCACTTTGGTCCCGAGCCAGATGTCTATTTTGTCTATGCCTCCCTGGGTGAAAGTGGGCCAGCTCGAGCGGACCTCAAGCCCCAGAACAATGTCCAGTGAGATAGGGACCATTCCCGTCCCGTTTATCAGTAAGGTCACCGCCGGGCAACCCTTCTTCTTCTTCTCCAACCCCACGCCTTGATAGAAGTATGGAAAGAAGACAATTTCAATTAAGAAATGTTTTGCATACATATTCTACATTATAGGCATTTGGGAAGCGCGCGCTGCAGCCGTACCCACCTCTGAGTATCTTCACACACTTTTTAACCTCGTTTCTGAACTCGGTAAGCATTCCACTGGCAGATATTGTGTTGTCTTCATCTAGAAAGCGATCCAAAGAGTGTTTTCCTCGTTTGAATGCCACGCTGTAAAACGCCCCATCATCCCCAAACGGCCGAATGTCCACCCGCTCGACAGGCACAGTCAACATCACGTCAAATTCGTCGGGATTAGAAATCTATATTGATCAAAAGATCGTGAAAAATCAGTGAAGCATGAAAGAGTATTGTGTCACACTGGTGATGTATGATTGAATGTAATTAATGACCCACCTTTAAATTCTCGTAGTAACTTCCAGTGCGCAGATCATTTACATCTTTGAAGCATTCCGTACACTTTTTCATGTGGTCCTTAATACGCTTTACCAAGTCATTGACAATACTTGCTGATTCCGATTTCTGTTTCTTCTTAATCTTCAATTGGTCAAGGGTTGTAAACAGGATTTTATCCGGATTTGAGTCAAAGTTGTAACCTTTTCTGACCATCCTTGATCCGGTTTTAACTTCTACGCTCTCATGTGGCACAGGTGGCTTTCCCTCAGTGGTGCGCTTAGGCTGCTTATGCTCCTTGGTTTTCTTGGATTTGTTTTCATCAATGATCTGTTGCGTTTCTTTCTTAGTGTCTTTCACTGGTTCTTTTGGAGGTTGCCGCGCACTCTTGGCCCGAACCGGATTCTTGGCATCCGCTGGTTCATGACTCTTTGCGCGCACGCTTCGTGGTTTCCCTCTCCCGCTCATTGTAGTAAGTATGATCGTGATGTGACACCGACGAGTAAAAGTGTCTTCTGTGCCAGTTAAATGATACTCTCTTCACTGTTTCCATTTGATGAAATGTGAATATGAACACTCCCCTTTCTACATACAGAATCCGTTCATCGCCCTCTTGTGTCGCAAACTATTGAGCAAGAGTTTAAAAAAAGCACATGCACGCCCACCCTCACTTGTGTGATGAATGATTGACCTGAAATCCATCCAGTAACTTAATGGACTTAACTTTCAATACGATAGCGATAGCTAACATGCTAAGTAGTTGCAAAGTAGCTAAAAAGTAATAATGAGTTGAAAAGTTGCTAATTAGCTAAAATACTCAAGTTGGCCAAGATGATATTCGAAAACGCAACCGTTGGGTTGCTAGAAGTTTGCATTATATGCCTATCCATCCCCACCCATCCATCCATCCACCCACCCTGACCAACCACCCTCCTTTTGTTTTTGCATTAAGTAATGTTCTGTCTTGTGTAACCATACCAAACTTAACATATCATACTCATTTGAGTGTCCCAGATTACATTTAATGTTACTTCTAGTCCACAGGAGGTTGGTGGCACCTTAATTGGGCAGGACGGGCACATGGTAATGGCTGGTGTGTGATGCCATTCCATCTGGTCTGTTCCAGCTATTATTACAGTGGGGGGGGAAAGTATTTAGTCAGCCACCAATTGTGCAAGTTCTCCCACTTAAAAAGATGAGAGAGGCCTGTAATCTTCATCATAGGTACACGTCAACTATGACAGACAAATTGAGAAAATAAAATCCAGAAAATCACATTGTAGGATTTTTAATGAATTTATTTGCAAATTATGGTGGAAAATAAGTATTTGGTCAATAACAAAAGTGTCTCAATACTTTGTTGTGATTTTCTGGATTTTTTTTCTAATTTTGTCTGTCATAGTTGACGTGTACCTATGATGAAAATTACAGGCCTCTCTCATCTTTTTAAGTGAGAGAACTTGCACAATTGGTGGCTGACTAAATACTTTTTTCCCCACTGTATGAGCCATCCTCCCCTCAGCAGCCTCCACTGTTCTAGTCTATGAGAACAGGCTGTCCCTATAGACAGTGAGCTTCAAAAGTATTGGGACTGTCAGTGACACATTATTATTATTATTTTTGGCTCTGTATTCCCGAGTGGCGCAGTGGTCTAAGGCACTGCATTGCAGTGCTATCTGTGCCACTAGAGATCCTGGTTCAAATCCAGGCTCTGTCGTAGCCGACCGGGAGACCCATGGGGCGGTGCACAATTGGTACAGGGTAGGGGAGGGAATGGCCGGTAGGGATGTAGCTTAGTTGGTAGAGCATGGTGTTGTGGGTTTGATTCCCACGGGGGGCCAGTATGAATAATAATGTATGCACTCACTAACTGTAAGTTGCTCTGAATAAGAGTGTCTGCTAAATGACTAAGATGTCCTCCAGCATTTTTGCTCATCCTATATAATTACTGCTGTATATACCTTTGCTATTCATATAGGGGAGAGTGGGGTATGTTGAGCCATTTTTTACATTCAGCATCACTACGTCAAGGGAAATATAGTTTTATTTCTAACAAAGATATCTACATATATTTCAGGATGTTGTGTATCCTTGGAAATAATCATAAATTATGTAAACATAACAGTTTTGAAAACATAGCTTGTCAAAAAATGTGGTCTCTTGGCACAACATACCCCGGGTGTGGGGTAAATTGAGCATAGGGACAGGGAAATTGAACAGCCTTGGGGTGGGTGATGGTGTCCTGTGACATTGGGTATTGGTGCAGGTAGGTCAAAGTTTAATTCATGGAATGGGGGTGTGGTATATTGCATATCTTAAATGTATGCCTACATTCAGACATACAGTACCTTCAGAAAGTATTCACACCCCTTGACCTTTTCCACATTTTGTTGTGTTACAGCCTGAATGCTTGTCACTGGCCTAGACACAATATCCCATAATGTCAAAGTGGAATTATGTTTTTTGAAATCTTTACAAATGTATTAAAAATGAAAAGCTGAAATGTCTTGAGTCAATAAGTATTCAACCTCTTCGTCATGGCAAGCCTAAATAACTTCAGGAGTAAAAATGTGCTTAACAAGTCCCATAATAAGTTACATTGACTCACTCTGTGTGGAATGATAGTGTTTAACATGATTTCTTATAACTACCTCATCTCTGTACCCCACACATACAGTTAGCTGTAAGGTCCCTCAGTCGAGCAGTGAATTTCAAACACAGATTCAACCACAACGACCAGGGAGGTTTTCCAATGCCTCACAAAGAAGGGCACCTATTGGTAGGTAGATGGGTAAAAATAAAAAAAGCAGATATTGAATATACCTTTGAGCATGGTCACCACAAATATACCTTTGAGCATAGTCACTACAAATATATAGGCATACTTCCTAACTCATTTGCCGGAGAGGAAGGAAACCACTCAGGGATTTCACCTTGAGGCCAATGGTGACTTCAAAACAGTCACATAATTGAATGGCTGTGATAGAAGAAAACTGAGGATGGATCAACAACATTGTAGTTACTCCAAAAGACCAACCTAATTGACAGAGGGAAAAGAAGGAAGCCTGTACAGAATAAACATCTTTCAAAACATGCATCCTGTTTGCAACAAGGCACTAAAGTAATACTGCAAAAAATGTGGCAAACCAATTAACTTTTTGTCCTGAATACAAAGTGTTATGTTTGGGCAGATCCAATGCAACACATTACTGAGTACCACTCTCCATATTTTCAAGCAAAGTGGTGGTTGCATCATGTTATGTGTATACTTGTAATCATTAAGAACTGGGGAGTTTTTCAGGATGAAAAATAAATGGAATGGAGGCAAAATCCTAGAGAAAAACCTGGCTCAGTCTGCTTTCCACCAGACACTGGGAGATACATTCACCTTTCAGCAGGACAATGACCTAAAACACAAGGCCAAATCTACACTGGAGTTGCTTACCAAGAAGACAGTGAATGTTCCTGAGTGACTGAGTTACAGTTAAATCTACTTGAAAATCTATGGCTAGACCTGAAGATGGTTATCTAGCAATGATCAACAACCAATTTGACAAAGCTTGAAGAATTTTGAAAAGAACAATAGGCAAATGTTGCACATTTGTGGATAGCTCTAAGAGACTTACCCAGAAAGACTTGTAGTTGTAATCTCTTCCAAAAGTGCTTCTACAAAGTATTGACTCAGGGGTGTGAATACGTATGTAAATGAGATATTTCTGCATTTTATTTTCAATAAATGTGCTAAAATGTCTAAAAACGTGTTTTCACTTTGTCATAATGGGGTATGATCTGTAAATGGGTGAGATGTTTTGTTTTTAATCCATTTTGAATTCAGGCTGTAACACAACAAATTGTGGAGTAAGTCAAGGGTTATGAATACTTTCTGAAGGCACTGTAGATCTCTCTGTTCAATATCACTTACCCTTCCATTTCTTGACCAGTTGTCTTGGACAGGGATGTTGTTTCAATGTGCCAATTTGTATGTAAGTTCTCTGCATTTGAGCCTACTAAGCCCATTAAACTGGTCTGCGAGATTCTTGATATGTTTAGCAAGCTCAGCCTCCATGTCATTAGATAAAACCGTGTGTGCCTCTGCTACTCTATCATAGCCTCTCTTTCGCACAGGTACTCTCTTTCCTTTTTGTCAATGTACCTCTTCAATGTCATTCAGTCTATTTTTTCATACCTTGCTGCTGCTGGAATGGACCTCTTCCCTTCTCTTACTTCCTTGGCTGCTCTCTCAAGAACCTCAAGGGGGGCTAGACCGCTGCTTGTTTGACGTTTGTATACACGGGGCATGATGTCTGCTTTGTAACAATAAAAATTCACTTGAGTTCATATGCATGACACGTTGTGAAAATACCATGCATATTACTCATAAAACGGACAAAATGTAATCATAATTTGTATGGGGTATGGTCGCCATTAGCTCAACTTACCCCGTGGCCATTAGCTCAATTTACCCCAAGGCAAAAACAATTGAATATATTAGGCCACACAGCTACAAGGATGCACTTTCATGCTGGGTTAAGGACCTCATATTGTAGCTTATCTAATGTATAAAACAATCTTAAAACTATGTACTTTGGTTTAGATACAATCAAGAAACCTATAACACAAAAAATTGATTTCACTGAAAATCTGTTTTTTGGACCAAACTTGCATAACACTTTTTCCATGTAGTTTATTCCTTCAGACACGTAATGGAATCATGTAGTAACCCACAAAGTGTTAAACAAATCAAAATATATTAACAAATAGCCACCCTTTGCCTTGATGACAGCTTTGCACAATCTTGGCATTCTCTCAACCAGCTTCATGAGGTAGTCACCTTGAATGCATTTCAATTAACAGGTGTGCCTTCTTAAAAGTTAATTTGTGGAATTTCTTTCCTTCTTAATGCGTTTGAGCTAATCAGTTGTGTTGTGACAAGTTAGGAAGGGGTATGCAGAAGATATCCCTATTTGGTAAAAGACCAAGTCCATATCATGGCAAGAACAGCTCAAATAAGCAAAGAGAAACAACATTACTTTAAGACATGAAGGTCAGTCAATACGGAACATTTCAAGAACGTTTAAAGTTTCTTCAAGTGCAGTCACAAAAACAATCAAGCGCTATGATGAAACTGGCTCTCATGAGCACAACCACAGGAATGGAAGACCCAGAGTTACCTCTGCTGCAGATGATAAGTTCATTAGACTTACCAGCCTCAGAAATTGCAGCCCAAATAAATGCTTCACATAGTTCAAGTCACAGACACATCTCAACATCAACTGTTCAGAGGGGACTGTGTGAATCAGGCCTTCATGGTCGAATTACTGCAAAGAAACCACTACTAAAGGACACCAATAAGAAGAAGAGACCTGCTTAGGCCAAGAAACACGAGCAATGGAGATTAGACCAGTGGAAATGTGTCCTTTGGTCTGGAGTCCAAATTGGAGAATTTAGGTTCCAACCGCTGTGTCTTTGTATGACGCGGTGTGGGTGAACGGATGATTTCCGCATGTGTAGTTCCCACCATAAAGCATGGAGGAGGAGATGTTATGTTGTGGGGGTGCTTTTCTGGTGACATTTTCTGTGAT